TGCAAATTGACTTTGAAAATCACAAATTAACATTATGTTCTATTGTATTTTATTTTGTTAAACATTTCCCAATTATGTTTTTAGTGCCCTGGCCACAAATTTTGACACCTCTACACTAGAATATTTCATCATTACATTTAAGGAGCTGTGATTTTGTTATTGTAATAAACCTTAGGTAATTGCTTGAGGCTCAAAAAGGTTAAGTAATTTGTCCATGGCTAGTGGATGGGATTTGAGATTTGAGTCTTTTGATTCAGTTTGAGTCTTTCTGACTTCAAGTCTAGAATACCATCTAGTAAGTCACACTGCCTAGGAGGGCTAACCACATAAGCTTTAAACTTAAAACGGCACTAAGATTTATGAGAAACCCTCTACTAAGAGAATAATAGTATTTAAAAGATGAGTTTCTATGTCATGAAAAGCTTATAGTTGTGGGAAACACTTGTCAATTTTCCAAATGTAGTCTAACCTCCCCTTTCTCATTATCCATCACTAGTCATCATTGGCGCATTATCCATCTGTGGTGTCCAGGACAGATATGATGAACTAATGATGCACTGCTTATCCAATTTCAGAAGATAGGCAAATAAGCTAATAAGAATCTTGTTCTCGATTTTAATGGCATATGATTATAGTAGTTTCTGATCATCTTTGTTGTTTCTTTTCTTTTGTGAATTCACCTTGTTTGTTTTTTATTTTGATCTTGTGATTTTCCTTTCACTTTAATCACTTAGGTCAGGCCTGCACAACCCAGCCTGGGGCCTGAAAGAGAATGTTTTACTCTTACGTTTTTCTGTGGACCCACCCGAAATCCCTTGGCGAACCACAGGTTGTGCTGGCCTCAATTAGCTAATGGCTTATTGGTTTTGTTAGGCCTTTTTAAAGCTCTTAGTTTTATATAAGTTCATTAGTCCTTTTGTTTTCAAGATTTTCTATTTCTTCCTAGTTTTTTTTGTCTGCATTTACTTTATTTTTTAACAATATCTTGTTTTTTCCCCAATTACATGTAAAAATAATTTTTAACATTCTTTTACCCCAATAACCCTGTGAGATAGGTGCTATGATTATTCCCATTTTACAGTTGAGGAGACTGAAGCAAACAAGTGATTTGCTTAAGGTCACACAGCTAGCAGGCATATGGGGCAGGATTTGAACTCAGGTCTTCCCAAACTTCAGGTCCTATGCTTTATCCACAGCACCATCTGAATCCCTAAATGTTGATTCTTATGTACAGAAAACCGTTAGGTTTTTCTTTAAATCCATTCTATCATTCTGTTTCTAATTGAAGATTATATAGCCAGAAGGGACTTCAGAGACCATCTAATCCAGTCCAGCTGCTTAAGTGAGGAAACTGAAGACAAGGCAAGTGTTACAAGGTTACACAGGCAGGAAACATCACCAGGAAGATTTGAACCCAGGTTCCCTGATTCCAGAGTCAGTGTTCTCTCTACTTTACCATGCTGATTCTGCACTATTAGGGAATTTAATCTGTTGAAATTCAGGTTGGTGCTTTTCAAGTTTGCTTTTTACCCATTAAAATATGTGTATGGTTTGCATTTCCTGCTCTTTTTAAGTTAGCATTTCATTTTATCAGATGATTTCATTAACACTAAATTTAGCCTGATCTCCAGCCCCTGAAATTCTTTCTGTTACCTTGACCACCAATCCCAAATTTCTTGAGTTTACTTTTTATATTATTCTCTTTTGTTCATTTTACTCTTTCCTTTCCCAGCTCAGATAATTCTCCCTATCACCATCTTAATTTTTTTGGGGGGGAGGTAACATTAATTTGTATTGTCCCTTTCCAAGAAGTTTTATTTTCCTTCTGTCTGTTTTCTGGGTCCTTTTTCCTTCTAGGATACCTTTATGTTCCATTCCCAGGAGTATTAATTTTTGCTGGAGGATATAATGGCAAGTATTAAGGAAGTGGTCAGACCTGATGTTTGTCATTTTTTTCCTTAATCATCCGTTTAGATGCCATGCCAGCCTGTATGGACCAAGCCAGATACCCTAGATAGTAACTACAGTAAAGGAAAAAAGAATGTACAGTAATGTTTTGTGTCATCCAGTGCAAGTGAGAAGAAGTAGAAAAGAGTAGTGGTAGTTGATGATTTCCTACTCAGAGGTAACTCAGGCAACTACTTGTTTACTTCTAAAAAAAGATATCTTCTATATTCCCAGGCCATAGCAGAACCTGAGGACAAAACTCCAAGAAAAAAGTCAGTAGTGAAACCCATGACCTAAAATGACTATGCAGAAATGTCCAAATATTCAAAAGCAGAATAAATTAGCAGTCCTAATTCAAGGAGACAAAATTATCTTGGTAGATATCACTGAAACTTAGTGGAATCAAACCCATGACTGATGTATACGACGCTAGAAAAATATATCTTGTTCAAAAGAAACAGGATAAGAAAGGGAAGTAGGGGGGTTTGGGGAGAGTGGGATGGAAGCATGATATATTTAGATATTTTGTAGAAGAAAATTGAGGTAATATAGTGGAGTACTGTGGTAGAGCACATCTGGGTGAAGATAGTGAAGGGAAAAAAAACCATGATTTTTATCAGTGTTTACTATAGGCCACCTGGACAGGAAGAGCAAATGGATGAGGATTTAAGTAACTCGATTCCATGCTTGTCACAGAAACATGATAGAGTAACGATGGGGGACTTTAACTATCTTGATGTCTGCTGGGATCATCTCTCTCAGACAAAAACAAAGCAGCTTTGATTTTGCCTTAGTGGTCATTTCCTTTTCTAAAGGTAGAGAAGGAAACACGGGGAAATTCTCTTTGGGATCTGATTTTTAAAAAAAAAAGAAGAAATTGGTTGCTAGGGTTTGAAATCATAGTCATCTTAGGAGAGAGTGATTAATAATCTTCTTAGTGTTAGTGAGATGAGGAGAGAAGAGCGAGTCACAGTCTTACATGCATCCTAAATTTTGGGGAGAGCATGTGTTGTAGGATTCAGTTGAAGGATAGATGAGATTCCAAGAACTGAAATTCAGCCAGGGAGGTTAAACTTGAAGAATAAAATTCTGATACCATACAGGCAAACACTTCTGATGAAGAGGAGCAGTAAAAGTTATCTAGAGGGAGTGACATGGGTGGGAAAAACTAAGAGCAGCTAAAAAGTTGTAGGAGTGGGGTTAAGCTATATGGGGAAGGGGGGAGTTAAAGAAAAGATAGGCCAGGGGATGACAAGACAATAATTGATCGTGGAGACTAGGGGAGAGCCACTCAGTTCTTATTTTACTTCTGTTTTCTCTGCCAAGGAAAATGGCCTTTGCCCTAGAAAGGACAGAAAAAAATAGCTAACAATAGTAATCATAGGTGTGTGTGGGTGTGGTGGTATGTTGAGGCTCACAAAGTGCTTTACGAGTATTATTTGATCCTCACAATAACCTTGGGTGGTAGGTGCTATTATTATCCTCATTTTGCAGATGAGGAAACTTGAGACAGAAGTTAAGTGACTTGCCCAAAGTCACACAGCTTTTTAGTGTCAGAGTCTGAATTTGAACAAGAGAAATAGATGTTCCAGGTGGATTGGTTCTGTTTTGAGAGTTTGAAGAAGCAAAAGAGAAAGGAGGATAAAAGAAGGAAGAAGGGCATATATATAACTTTATTTCTCATAATTGGAGTGTGTAAGAAAAAGTACACAGACATGGAGGAAAGAGGTTGGGGTGAATAGCCATCAGATGAACCTCATTCTTGTCTGAAATGGACAAAAGAGGGTTGAACACACGACACAGTTTAATTCAGAAATACATCAAATGCAATAAGGAAGGAGTTATAGTACTACAAAGGGAATAATCCAAGCGAAACAAACTTCCTGATTCTGGAGGGGAGAGTAAAAGGAGGGGGAAAAGAAATAAATTAAAATCTAAGGGGAAGCCATACATTGCTTCTTTTGACAATTGAAGAATGAACAGACAAAATTGGTGTGTGTGTGTGTGTGTGTGTGTACATATGTATATTGTATTTATATTAACATTACATGATATAAGAAATAATTACAGAGATGATTTCAGAGAATTCTAGGAAATATATATTGATGCAGAGTGAAGGAGAAACAGAATCAAAGAAATAATTTATAGGATAGAAACATTGTAAAAAAAAAAAAAAACCAGCTTTGAAAGACAACTCCGATCAATGTAGTGTACAGTGATGTCCCCAGACACGTGATGAAGCATGTTGCCCATCTCCTGACAGGTGACAGAAGATGCAGTCATACATTTTCAGGCATGGTCACTGTGTAGATCATTTTTTTTTTTAAACTAAACTATTTCTTACAGGGTTTTTTTTCTTTTTAGTTGGGGTGGGAGGTTAGGAGAAAGGGGGAGTTAACCATAGTAATACTTCCCAAAAGACTATTGTGACATTTTAAGTGCAGAAAGAAGCAGGGCATTTTTGAAAGTGATGACTAGAATTATTGGGTACCTTTTTTTTTTAAAGCAAATAATATAGGGGCAGCTAAGTGGCTCAGTGAATAGAGCTCTGGCCTTGGAATCAGGAAGACCTGAGTTCAAATCCAGCCTCAGACACTTGACACTTACTAGCTGTGTGACGCTGGGCAAGTCACTTAACTCCAATTGCCTCACCAAAAAAAAAGCAAACAACATGAATTGATTTGCCATTTCATATAAAATCCTCTTTGTGTGTTCTGCTGGAAATGTCTTTTAGTTCTTAAGTTCAAAACATAATCTCTACCCCACCCCCAAAAAGATAAATTACCACTCCAGAAAGTCAGGGGTGGGGGGAGGCAATTTGGCAGCGTTGTGGAAGATGGATTTCATTGGAGAGGGGAGAGACAGTAATTCAGGGGCAACAATTGTGAGGTAATGAGAGCCTGAAATTGGGTGATTGTATTATAGTAGAGAGAGGGCCAAATACAACTGGCCTTGAGGAGGTGAGATTGGTTAAGAGCTGGTCTTCTAGCACAGGCTATATGACTACTGATGTTATGGTGAGGGTTCTTTTTTGTGTAGGGTTTCGACACAATTCAATAAGCACAAAGATTAAAAACCTCCTCGAAGCAGGCGATAACCTCTAAAGTGCCTTCAGACTGTAAAATTCTTGGATTTTGTAAAGGACGGTGCTTTTTGGCCTTATTTAACGAATCATGAAGAGGAGATGGCTGAAGGGGAAAGGAAAAGAAAGTTGTTAAACCAGGATGGGAAGAGGAGTAGATCCTGTGGAAAGTGGTAAAGTTTAACATCAGTTGACTCCTATACCACAGGATCCAGGTTAGTGTTCTGGTAGCCCTTAATTACTTTTTTTAAAAAGTGCTCAAAATGTTTTATATCAAGCTAATGTTGTTGTTGTTCATGATTTAACAGTCGTGTCCAACTCTGGGTCCCATGAACTATAGAGTACCAATACCATCCATGGGGTTTTCTTGGCAAAGATACTGGAGTGGTTTGCCATTTCCTTCTCCAGTTCATTTGACAGATGAGGAAACTGAGGTCAAGCGACTTGCCCAGGTTAATACAGCTAGTAAGTGTCTGAGGCCAGATTTGAAGTCAGGTCTTCCTGGCACCAGACCCAGCACTTTATCTGCTGAGCCACTGAGCTGCTTCTGAAAGCTGCCTCTAAAAAGCTGACATTATGGGATTATCATTTAATTGGATTTTCACATGAAGTGTCTACTCTAAACTTCATGAAGGTTTCCAGAACCCCCAGTATTCATAAATACAGTATAATGATTTCTAGGAGGCTACATAGTACAGCAGAAAGAGCACTAGTTCTCTAGTCAGAGGAGCTTGGTTCTTCCCTAGGCCTTAGTTTCCTCATTTGTAAAATGACATCTTTGGACTACATTGTCTATTAGATCCCTTTCAGTTCTGTCTAGCTTTATGATCCTGTGAAATGTTATCAACTCAGACCAAGCGTAACTTTGTGGTTAAGAAAAAACCAAATAATCTAAAGAGGTTTTTTTGTTTGTTTGTTTGTTTGTTTTTGGTTAGGCAATTGGGGTTAAGTGACTTGCCCAGGGTCACACAGCTAGTAAGTGTCAAGTGTTTGGTCTGAGGCCAGATTTGAACTCAGGTCTGACTGACTTCAGGGCTGGTGCTCTATCCAGTGCACCACCTCATTGCCCCTTAAAGAGGTATTTTAACCCTGCTATTTTCTCCTTTTGCTTCTCTACAAATTATAGAGTTTAATTGAATTCTGTTTTCTCTGAATAGAAATTATGTGCATAGATTAGTTCCTGCAATTATCTTTTATTGGAAGGTAAGCTTTCTAGGGAAACTTTGGATTTTCAAGTTTAGAGTTCTTAGCAGAAGTGTGAGTATCGAATTGTGATAGTTTTTTTTTTGTTTTTTTGATACCTTTGAGCTTTCCTAGGGTTTAAACATTTCTTCCAAGAGACAGACCTAGATGTGGCTACCAAGGGGGCAGTCACATTGATTCCATTAATTCCAGAGATAAGTTTAAAAGTTAACAAAGATCTCAAAGCTTCCATAAACAATACATTTAATATTTTGTTATGAGAGTGGTTCCATAAATTAATACAGGAAAATGACAGGAATGAATGACTTCAGATAGTAAATTAGAAAAGTTTTGTAACACAACTACTAGCTTTAATGTCTTATATCCAACAAAAAAATACAGTCCCTAGTCTTAAGAAACTTAAGACCCAAGGAAGGAAACATAAGAACATAGAGACACAGTGAGATTTTTTTCAAACGTGTGAACCATTACTTTTCGGTTATAGCTGTTTTCAGTTCCATTTCATAAATGCATTCACTTATTTTTAGTTTAATTTTTTTTTTATTTTTAACACAGGTGACTGATCCACATATTAAAAGAATATGGCTGCACAAATATCAGAAACTGATCAGATTAAACAGGTGAGATTTGCTTAAAGAAAACTGGTTTTGAAAAATTAAAACTATACCACAAGATGCAAACTTAGCCAAAAGTTTCCTCAACCAGTTGTTCCAAATTTCATTTCAAAAAGGAGGATAATCAAGTAACAGGAATGTGAGGAAAATGCTTTTTTTTTTTTTTTTTTTTTTTTTTGCAAACAATCAGGAAAAAATAAAACCAAAACATATCAAAATTTGAGCTGTAACTTACATATTAAAATTAAAACTGTAACTGTTTATTTAGTGGGAAGGTTATAGCTACTTCAATAGAAAATTCTCATTTTTCACTTTTGTTTTTATTTGTACATTTTGCAGGATTGATGGAATTTTTAAAAGAAATTTATTTTCCATTTTATGTGGTTCTGTGCCTGATTACTATACATATGCACATCATTCACTCTAGTTTCTAGGTATGTTTGGTTGAAAAATAACTTCTAGTAACAGGTTAATCTCAGAGTTAAGGCAGCAAGAAAAAAAAAATAATTTGACTTTGAATTTGTTCACAGTTTAAAGAATTTCTTGGAACTTACAATAAACTCACAGAAACTTGTTTTCTGGATTGTGTTAAAGACTTCACAACAAGAGAGGTCAAACCAGAAGAGGTATGTAACTTTTTCCACTAACATTTGCCCTAATTTTCTATAAAGAAACAAAATAGAAAAGCCCCTTAGTGTATTCTTTTGATGATGTTTCTGAAACATGTAGGACTGAGTTTTGAATCATGGCCTTTTGTATGCCATTGCTATGAGAGTTTTGGGTAGTCTTCTCATTTAATTTGATACTGCTGCTGCCAGTTTAATGAGGCGTCATTCACATGTTAACTGAGGCAAACTTGTCAGAAAAGATATTTGTCCTATCAATTTTTATTTTTGTTTTATTTTTACTTTTTGGTGAGGCATTCGGGGTTAAGTGACTTGCCCGGAGTCACACAGCTAGTACATGTCAAGTGTTTGGTCTGAGGCCGGATTTGAATTCGGGTCCTCCTGACTCCAAGGCTGGAGCTCTATCCACTGCACCATGTAGCTGCCCGGTGTCCTATCAGTTCTTAGGGTCTGTCTTAGTAGTCCCCAGCAAAGACTCATCCCTTTTCAGCAAAGATAACTAAACCGAAGAAACTTGACATAGCCCCTCTGATTGATTTGGAAACAGCCTAGCTTGAACTTAGTGTTAACATATTGCATAGTTAGACAATGGACCCCATCACATTTTTTTTTCCTTTTGATTTTCCAATTTAAAATTTCACTTAGGCACAAAGTGTTATAAGCCTCTTTCCATTACAAGCTATTGCTTAGCATTCATGTTTTATTCCACATTTTTCAGGAAAGTTAAACATCACTGTTTGGGGGGGTTTTTTTAGTAATCATCCACTATGATGATTCTCCCTGCACGGCTGTAAATGAATTATATTTGAGGTGTTAGAATCAGTTTTTTCCATAAAAAGGAACATCTATTTTTGCTGCTGTTCCTATCTTTTTAAAAAATTAGAGAAATGGATCTACCAATAAAAGTAACACAAAAGAACTTGGACTGTCCATTTGCTAATTTGATGTAATTTGCTCTAAAAGCAAAATCTTAGTACAACTGTGTTTTTGGAATACATCAATTTTAAAATAAAATTCACTGACATCTCTCTTAATGCCTTCGTCCCTTTTTTCTAGTCTACCTGCTCAGAACACTGCCTACAAAAATATTTAAAAATGACACAAAGAATATCCTTGAGATTTCAAGAGTATCATATTCAACAGAATGAAGCTCTGGCTGCCAAAGCAGGACTCCTTGGCCAACCACGATAGAAAAGTGTTTATGGATGGACCTTTCCATAAAGCAGTGCCAAAAGTTGTTGCATTGGAAGTGGCAGTTCTTTTGATCTTAAACTGTTGTGGATATTTTCACCATGTCAATGATTGTGAGCATTTGGCAAGTGGAAACCATTGGAGAAACAAATGTGCTTCTTACCAGGAATAAGCAAAGTACAAGATCTTGTCTTATTGTGCAATGAAAATATTAAGATGCAGTGGGGCCTTAAAATTCAACAGCTTGGCCACTTGATTAGCAAAATAAACCATTGTTTCTTCAATTGTGACTGTTAATTTTAAAGCAAAGTATGTGTTCAATCATGTATAACATAAAAATTATTTTTATTACCAAAAGTAAAGTAAGTGGCAACATTTAAGTTCATATTTTTATCAACAAGCAGCTGTTTATACTAAGAATTACCATAATATCCAGACTGGAGTCTTATCTGGTTACATTGCTGAAATATTTTTCACTCAGGATCATCCTCAAGGCATTCCTGTTCATTCATTTCTGCCTCAAATTGCGGTAAATACACAAGAGTTATTTTCTGATTATTTCAGTGCATAGTCTTTCCTTTCCTCTCCTTCATTCTCCTCTCCCTCTCTCCCTCCCTCCCCCGTCCTGCCTTCCTCTGCCATTTTTTCCTATGCCTCTAGGAAAAATGCCATCTGTGACTAGCACTAAGAAGTGTGTTAATTCACAGCCATGCTCTTGAGTGGAGCCCATGGTCTTTACACAAAATATGAGAATGAAACCTGCATGTTTAGGTCAGACCATCAATATGTAATTCATTTATCGTCACTTAAATTTGGGTTATCCAGATTTTCTCACTAAAAATGCCCAAATGAAATAAAGTAAACCAAAGCTAAAATAGAATATTGGCTAAATAAATGTAAAAATGAAACAAGCATCTTGACAAGTCATAGTTGACTCACAGGCATAAAAGAGGACAGATTTTGGTAAACATTTTTAATCTGGTGGCAAATAAAAGACAACTGTAGCCAACAATTATCTTATTGGGGTAAATTCCATTCACTACAAATATGAAGTTGTAGTTAGACTTTAAAGACTTTTAGGTCTAAACTTAACAATACTAACTTGTGTTTCTGTCATTGATGGAAGGAAAAAAAATACATGATGTAACTTGAGAGGAAAGGGGAAATCTCCACAATAAATTTTCATATACTTTTTTAAAAAGCCTCCTTTAGAAGCTGACCATGTCATTTCATTATCCAGCCTTATCAGACACAGCTGTTAATAAAATCCTGAAGTGCAAAAAAAATTCTAAAATTTGACAAAGGATATCTTAAAAGTGTGACAAACTTATACCACATCTCAACAAAATTATTCATTAATTACTCTAGGACAGTAGAGTAATTTTAGAAAAGGTGCGTTTCAGAGTCCTTGAACGTGAATATACACATACACATGAATATAAAATTTCTTTTTCCCATCTTTATTTCACCAAAAGAATGAAATCTACACATACCTGGCACACCAGGGGTAGTTTGCGCATCAGCATATCAAATACCATAGGGGGCAGCGTTTGTTTGAAAACCTGCAGAAGTTTCTGTGGCTGCCCACATACTAAAATGGCATTGCTGAGATGTTCAACTCCCATTCTGGGTTCACCTGAAACAAAGGCATGGTGGTTTTGAATGAAATTCCCAAATTTTTTTTTTTTTTAGAATATCAAGTCCCTTTACCACAAAATGCCAACACTAAACACTTTAATTAGAGTGCAGCTTGAAAAAACCTGTCATTAAAGATGGGAACCTTCAGTTTCAAATGCAGTAGAGTCAGACAAGACTTCCATCATACATAGTATCATATAGGCAAAGTATTAGATGAGAATTTGCACAGCAAAGCCTACTTGGAGACTTGGAATCTCAAAGTGGAAAAGGAAGGCTGGTGAAGCTTAGGCTGTAATAGGTACAGTTTGGGAGTGTTAACAGCCTTTGGCTTTGAAAATTTAGCTCTACAGTGTTGTATTTGAGTTTATTTAATAAAAATAGGAGGATTTGGTAATCTATTTTACAATTCTGGCAGTTTTTATTTAAGACTTTTGGAATATACACAGGATATGAGATAATGTAAGGTTTCTTTTAGCAGTATACATATGCTTGGTATGTCTCAGATGAAATGCAACTGGTCTATTGGTTGTAAGAAACATGTAGGATTCGTTTATCAAATACTGTCCAACTAGTACCCTGTGTTAATTTGTGCATTAAGTTCAAAAAATTGAAGGAAAAAAATATTTTGATTTTATCTCTCAGTGAGGTACTCATAATAATATTATGGACTTTCTGCTACTCCCTTATACAGTCATCTCATTTTGTAGATGAAACCAACTTGCACAGTTGCATGTACCTTGTTAGTATTTTGCTCACAGGTAGTAACCATATGTATCAGAGACAGTGTTTTAAACCCAGGTCACCTGACTCTATACCACAATGCCCTTCTTTAGCACAGGATTCTTGAGATGATCATTTGTAGTTAAATATAGTTAGAATTGAAAATTGGATCATTAAAGAATGAGATTAACATTCATGCTGATTATCCCCTAAAACATCCTGACCTGCCAGGTCTTCAGTCTCCTCAACTTCTGTCACCTACCTACTCCTTCAGTCCACCTTAGTCACACTCTTGATCTTACCCTAGTATTCCACTATAAAGAATTCTTATATTCCATGATTTAACCATAACCTCCTCTGGTTGAACCTCTCCCTATTCCCTCACTCCTAAACCTATTTTTTGCCCTCAGTGGGGCTTTTAATATCCTCTGAGGTCTTTACCCCTACTCTTGCTGAAATTCGTTTTCCTCTCTCCCCAATATTGACCTTCTGCTCCTACTCAAATACTAATGAATACATGAAGTCACACACTGTGCTGACTGAGTGCCCTGGAAATGTTTAATTTCAACTGGGCCTTAAGTGTAGCATGACTATCCTTTTACTCTTTAACTGATTCACTATCCTGCATTCCACAGTGGATGCTGCAAAGTTTTTCATCTCTTCTCAAGACTCCTACTCTTTCTCCTGAAAAAATAGAGGCTATCAGTCTTTAGTTCCCTCTTCTCCCTTACTCTGAATCTCAAAACCTCTCAACCTCCTGCATTCTCTGCTCTTTTACTCTTGTCAGTCTCTGATGAAGAGGTAGTCCTCAGAAAGGCCTACATCTCTTGTTCCCTTAATGCTTTTCTTCCCCTTCTCCTTCACCCCACTAAATTTTGTCATTTCTGCCTCCACAATAACTCTTAGATATGACCCCTTCTTTCTATAATCACATAACCATCCACCTAGTTGAAGCTCCCATTGTCTCTTGAGTGGCCTACCACAGTAGCCTTCGAAAGGGGTCTTTCTGCCTCAAGTCTTTCCTCATTCCATCTTCCACACAGCTACTAAAGTGATTTTGCTAAAGCAAAGGTCTGGCTTGTCAGTCTTCTACTCAGTAAACTGCATTCATTCCCTATTATTGCCTCCAAACTCTTGTTTGGCATTTAAAGAGCTTCACAACCTGGCCCTACCTTACCTTTCTAAACTTACTGTACATTATTCTCATTCCTGCACTCTGTAGTCAACCTGACTGCCCTTCTTGCTGCTACTTCTTTCATCTCCATGACTTTGCACTGCCTACCCACCTCATGCCTGCAATACATTCCTTCTTTACCTCTCCTTTTTAGAATCCCTTCATTCAGAACTCAAGCACTCTTTTACATGAAGCCTCTCCTCGTACACATACACACAGACAGACACACACACACTGCCAGTGCCCCTACTCCAATGTTATCTGTATTTTGCATGTGTAGTTGTCTCCCCTGCAAGAATATAAATTCCTTGAGGGCAAGAATTTTTTTTGTGTTTGTATGCCCAGCACCTAGCACATAAGCACTTAATATGTCTTCTCTATCCACTGGCTCCTTTTCCCTGCTGCCTACAAATAGGTCCCTCTCATCTTTAAAAAACCCTCATTTACCCCTACAGTCCCTTCAGACTATCTCCTCTTCATAACCAAAATCCTAGAAAAAAATATCTATACTTAATGTTTTATTTCCTCTCATTGACTTTCTCAGTCTCTTGCAATCTGACTTCTGCCATCACTAAACTCAATTACTAAGCATTTATTAAGTACCTGCTATGTGACAGGCACTGTGTTGGACACTGAAGATAAAAAAAATGAAAATCTCTGTTATCAAAGAGCTTACACTGTAGCTAATGACTGCTCTGTCCAAAGCTAACCAATGATTTCTTAATTGCAAGATCTGAGAAGATTTTCTCAGACATCCTCAGTCTTTCTGCAGACTCTGACAGTGTCGATCACTTCCTCTGGGTTTCTCCTTCTCCTGTCTGGTTAGTCTCATTTATTGGATCACCATCCACATCCTGCCCTCCCAGCTGTCCTGGCCATTCTCGGTGACCTCATCAGCTCCCATATCCAGTCCTGTTATCTCCTGAGCTCCATATAACCAATATGTCCAAAATATAACTTATCACCTGCACCCCCATCCTATACATTTCCAAACCTGCCTGTTTCTGTAGAAAGCATTATTACCATCCTTCCAATTCATTCACACTCACTACCTCAGTCACCCTTGCCTCTTTCACTCTTCCTTACCCTGTGTATCCACTTAGATGCCGACACTTGTCAATTCTGCCTCCGCATCTGTCCCATCCATCCCAGGTTTCCTACTCGCATGGGCCCCACTCAAGTTCAGGACCCTATCATCTCTTACCTAGACTATTGCAGTATCCTAGTTGATTGCCCTACCTCAAATCTCCCTTCTCCAATTCATCTTCCACACAGCTGCCAAAGAGATATTCCTAAATCACAAGTCTAACCATGTTACTCTCATGCTCAGTGAATTCCAGTTCCCCAGTGCCTCATCTGTCTGGCATTTAGAATTCTTTACCACTTGGCTTCAATCTGCCTTTCCAGCCTTATACATTTCTCCCCTTCATACGCTCTTCAATCTAACCACATTGGCCACACTCTTATCTCCTGTTTCTGTACCTTTGCACGTCCTGTTCCCTGTGCACTTCTTCCCCAACTCTGCCTCTGATGAAAATCCCTAGCTTTCTTCAAAACACATCAATAACCACTGTTTATGTGATGAACTTAAGGTCCTGTTCACTCCAGTTGTGCCTCCAAAAATATTACCTTGTATTTATTTTGTGTGTATTTTTATGTGTATGCCATCTCTCCTTATTGAATGTAAGCTCCTTGAGGGCAGGAACTGTTGGCATTTTTGTCTTTGTATACCCAGCCCCTAGCACGATGCCT